GCATGCCCCCTTTAGAGACCACTAAAAAGATCATTGGTGTTATGCTGCTGGCTCTGCCAAGTGCCATTTGCCCTGGAACTATGCAGGCAGCATTAAATGGGGGTCAATCAACCACAACTCGAGGAACCCCTAGCAAACACTGGAGGAACCCTTTGGAATCTATGGAACCCTGGTTGAGAATGTCTGATCTAGCCTGCAGGTGTCATGCCAAATGGTTTAGTTTTGTAGTAATAGTAGCATGGAGACATAATCTTGCCCCTATACAAAGCATTGGTTGACTATGCAGCTCAGTTTAGGGCACCAGTTTACAGCACTGATGATACCAAGAAACTGAAAATTGTGCAGAGCCGGGCAAATAAATTATAGAGATCCACAGTTCTGATTTTATTAATGGTAATAGTCGAAGTTTCTGTATTCACCCTTTTAGAAGAGAACATTTATGGGGATGTTATCGCCTATTTATAGGTGATTTATAAGCCCTTAATATCACCATACATGGTGGCTTTCTATGTGATGGGGATAAAAGAGGTTTGTGGAAAGGAGGATTTACTAGAAAAGCTATTTCTGAAGACCCAGCTCTGCCTTTACATTGGTAATATCGATTGACACATAAACCTTTCATGAGAGAAATATGGTGGTTGCCATTGCTGACCTCCCTCTGAAAATACTTGTTTGCTGGCTGCTATGCCCACAATCTGACCTAAATCATTTGGGTTCATGGGATTGTACTTCCCATTGACACCCATCATACCATAACAATAAACCTAAATGATAAAGTAAAACACAACAATGATTGTGGAAAAAACTATAGGTCGTGGCCCCTTTATTGGGTTTTAATCAATTTAACCAATAAATAGACTTTTAACCTTTTATTACCAAACAAAACCACTGTTAGCCATTAACAGACCACCATGCTTAGTCACTATGACTCAAGCAGCAATAACTTACACCAACCAAATTACCGTTTACCAACCACTATCCACCCACAAAGTGTGCGACATTACCCAAACTGTTAGCCATTAACTGACCACCATGCTTAGTCACTACGACTCAAGCAGCAATAGCTTCCATCCACTAAATTACCGTTTACCAACCACTGTCCACCCACAAAGTGTGCGACATTACCAAACTGTTAACCATTAACAGGCCAGCATGCTTAGTCACTACGACTCAAGCAGCAATACTACCCCATAAAGATTGACTGTGCCAAGAGAAAGTAGAGCAAAGGGGAGGGTGAGCGGGGAAGCAGGTGAAAAGATCCAAAAGGAATTGTGAAGATGATCCAGAGGTGAGTTCAGTCCTGAGGGAAATGCTGACACTGTCCAGTGACGGGAGTGAATATAGAGGTGAAAGGATATACTCTTTGGTCAGCTGTTTTCCCGCCAAAAGTGTCACTGACTGAAGGTCTGTCCAGCCACTGAGGTAAATCTTCCTAGCAACAGCAGGCAGATTGTAACCTGAAAGACAAAGCTGAAAGAACCAGCAAAGCAGTCCCAGAGAGACATGTACTTTAACAGTTATCGCACGCCTCTATTGAATATAAATGGTTTTAAAAAACACATGGGTGATGGGGGTGACAATCCCATGGGGCCACTTTTCTTATTTTGCTTTTGTTGGCTAACATGAACCTGAAACAAGTCTGAAACCGGTTAGTGTCCTTTAATGCATACTTGTACAGGAATGAACAAAAGGGTCAGCAGATAGTCAGAGAAGTAGCATTTTTAGGTCTCATTCACCCAGCCGTACAGCATGTACATTTGTGCAGAGGCCTGCGCCCAGGTGGGACTGGTGCTACATGTAGTTGCGTTCAGCTGCCTGTACATGATGCGGGTATACGACGACCTGAACTTACACATATGTACAGGTACAGATGCACACCCTTGAACACAGACTGTCTATGGATGTGCAAGTTCAGGTTGGCATGTACTTGCGTGCAGCCCCATCCTGTCCTAGAGATGTACAAGTGGCTGCACACGGCACCTGTCCTTCCCAGGCACAGGTCTCTGCATGGACATGCATGCTGTGCACATCCATAT